CCCCCCCCCTTCCTCCGCCGTCCCTTTGCATTGCTGTACGCGGTGAGTACAGGACTGCGGCCTGCCCCAGAAGTGGCTGCCTTTAGAGCGACACGCGGGAGTGCTGCGATGTGCCTGTGTGATACTCCGGGGGGGTATTTAAAAAGCTTGTGAGACTTTTAATAGCAGCAGTTAAAGTGGCGATATCAATCTTTGTTTCGTATTTCTCACTTCTGTGGTTTAGTTGCTTTTTCACAGTCAGGCACAATTTTTTTTTTTTGTTGTTTTTCGTCGTCTTTCTCTCCACTCAAAATGCTCAGTAATGTGGACTTTTCCCTCTGAACTCGTTGGCTTTAATTGCAAACTGATTATCCACTTCATCACGTAATTAGTTTGCTTTATATTGTGGGTGACTCCTTGCTGGCTCAAAAGGACCTAATTTTTATGACTCTGCCAGCAGAGCTGGGCAGATGGCTGAGCTTTCTTTTGAAACGCGGGGGCGGTGGGTGCCCACGCAGTGGGCACGAGTGGGACCCGAGGGCTGGACTCCTGGGTTTGCCCTCTGGCCAGCCCTTTGCCCCCTTGAGTGGGGGTGGGGCAGCATGTGCTCCCTTTCTACCTCGGTTTCCATATCTGGGAAATGGAGATAATGTCTCGCTAGCTGGGCAGCTGGTTAGTTTTATAACCTCTCTGGGGACCAGGCTGTATTGACAGAGGACCCTGCTCCCTGCCCGGGACTCGGAGCTAGTCTCATAAGTGGGTTGTCAGCCTTAATTTTTGTAAAATGCTTGACAGTCCTGGACACTTTTTCTCTCGTATCTGGTGCAGAGGGAGGGGTGGGGGGGCATAAGGGCAGTGATGACCAAGGACACAGGGCAGCAGCGACCTGTGTGCAACCGCCCTTTCCCGTCTTGTGCATCCCAACTTGGTGCTGCTTCTTAATTAGCAAGTACCCCGAGCTGTGACACTCCCAGTGTCCTGGACAGATCTTGCACGAGCGTCCCGTGCAAATCTCAGCTGGTTTTCCCCTTGCCCTTGAGGAGGGTAAAACTAGAAGTGTAAAGGGGGGTTGGGGGATCCACAAGTGCTTGCAAATCCCAGGATTTTAGGGGTGGCAGGGATCAAATGCTTCTGGTTCTGAGCACTTTGGGCTGCTGCTCCAAGCCGGACAGCCCAAGCCGGAGATTGCGGCTGTTGTCTCTGCTCTGGTTCAGCCTCTGATGATAACAGGTTCTGGAAGGGAGGAAATGGAGCTGGCGGGTGGAAGGCCCTGCTGGGGAAGCGATGGGTACGTGCATTTAAACATGCAACTGTGCAGCTGAGCTCTCCCTGCTGCATCAGGGGTGGTGGGAGGCTGGCTCCCCCCTGGCCTGGCCTCTCTGACTTTTGCCTTATTTTAATTTTTTTTTTTTCTTTAACGGCAGCACCCTCCACCCCCACTTCCCCAGGCTTGTTTCGAGCATTGTTGATCTTCTGCTTCTTCTCTGAATGTGAGCAGGGTAAACCGAAGCCTGGTTCTTGTTGGGTCCAGTTACAGATGTGCACGCGACACGTCATCTCTGCCCGTCCCTGGACACGTCACCAAACCCAGCTTATTTTTAGCCCTTTTTTTTGTTGTTTTTTTTTGTTTTTTTTTAACAGTCGTCACTCTCTTCCGAGCACCTGTCCTCATGGGAGGTGGATGACGAAGGCTCGGCATGCTCTTCCTCTAGCACTTCTCGCCCTATATTGAAAGTGGGCTCCACCCAGCACAAAATCCCTCTGGTGCTGGCTCCTGTGGTAGTGGGAAAGAGGGGGCCGGTTTCTCTATCTTGCCACCTCCCCAGGAGCGTGCAAGAGAAGTGGCCGAGGTCGCACGGTGAGTTGGTAGCGAAGCCGTCAGAGTCCCAGCTCACTGATTCAAAATGCTAGACCCTGTGGTTTTTAATTGGCTCCCAAGGAAGCTAATTAGGCTTCTGCTTCCCCCCCTGCATAACATGGGGAAGGCTTCTTGCAAGCAACCCCCGGATCCTGATCTGCTTTAAGACCCACTCTGTGGATCGGTTGGGGCAGGGGAACCCCCTGATCTTTGCACAGGGCTTGTTCCCGTGTGTCCACAGAGGAAATAATTCATCTGTAGAGGTCAGTGGGCAGCTGCTGCCGACACCCTTGTCTCTTCAGTGTTGGGGTGGGGAAGGAGACCACCAGCCTGGCTGCCAGGTAGACTCGAGCAGCCTGGGGGAGCCGCCTGGTCCACCCCAGAGCTTCTCGGGGTTCAGGCGCGTGAGGCGCTTGAAACAATAGCACAGCCGCCCAAACCCACATGCAAGAGCGCTTGCTCGTGCCGACTCCAAACAGCTCTTGGCCCACGCCAGCCTAAACCCCAGCTGCACTCGCTCTTTATTAGAAGGCATTTGTTGTATCGGGAGTTGTCCCCACCTCTTGCTGACCCAGCCCCCTGGTGAGCGATGGCTTAATTCAGCCTTCTTTGCATTGCCAGAAAGTGTTAAGCTGAAACTCATCTTGCAGAAAAAACAAAAAAAACAAAAAACAGTGCCAGTTTCTGATTGGTTCATGGGCCAGTTTGGGGACTCATAGCAAGACGGAGCCAACCACCAGAGAGGTGACTCGCAAGCTTGCGGCGAGCTGAGTGACGCGTGCTCCGGTTCCTCTCTGTCTATGAATGAATCTCACTGCTGCTTGTAAAGGAAGGGGGCGGATGGGTGCACGGAGCCCATGCTTGCATATGCCGGGAGGATCTGTCAGAAAGCATTCGTGCTCTTGCCGCGGTCAATTCGGTTGCAGCTGGTAGCACGCAGCGCTGTCCTGACCTTGTGCCTGGCAGCCTTTGCCGGGAGCGGGGGCCCCAGTGCGTCGGGCCCTGCACACGCCGATAAGAGGCCCATCCCTGCGTCCAAAGAGCTTATGAGCAAACTAGACAAGGAGATTAACAAGGGGACGGAGCAGAGGGCAGGGGGATGTGCCCAAGGTCCCTCCGCCGGTCAGGAGCAGCGATGAGAAGAGAGAGCCCAGGTCTTGTGAATCTTTCTGTTGGCTGGATCCTGGCAAGCGGGGCTAGCATGGGCCAGTGCAGCTGGGGTCTTGGCTGCTGCGTCCCATTTGCAAACATGTCAGGCTGGAATATGGGTCGCTGCCCCAAAACACGTACACTCTCAGCATAAGACGACCCTCTGCGTGCATGCAAATGGAGAGAGGCCAGGCATAAACTGCACCTGCGCTGTTGGAGGGAGGTCGTAGCTACGGTGGTTCAGAAAACGTGCGAGAAGCTGGGATTTGGGCGGGCCGCCTCTTATCCCAGTCGCGCAGTTGGTCCGATAGACAGACACGTGGACCGGTGTAGCTTGTCTTGGGTGCATTTGGGGCAGGGGCTTTCCATGGATGTAGCTATAGCAGTGGGGGCCCTGCGCTGTTGGAAAGCCGTACGGGTCCGAGAAGGTGCTTTTTGCCCAGAAGGGAGGAGGAATAAGCTGGCCTGTTGGTGGAAGGCATCTCGGAGGGCTTGCATGGGTGTCGCTGGGCCCTGCTCTGCTTTCCAGGCTTTCCCCAGCCCTTCGGGGGGGGAAAGAGGAAGAGCTGCCATTGTCTCTCCTAGGGAATGACTGTCCCTTGGAAACCTGCTTTTGTCTTCCCCTCTGCCTACAGCATCGTTAAAGAGCAAACGTCCCAACGTCAGGCACGGCCTCAAGGTCTTTCCCAGCCCTGCCGCTGGCTCAGCCCTTTCATGGGTCTGCCTCCCCTGTCCTCTTGCTCTCATTGCTTTGCACTCTGTAGCAGCTCAGCTGAGACGCTGCCCACTGCCAGGGTCCCGTAAGATCCCGGATCTCCAGCTCTGGACAAGCCCCTGCGGTCTGGCTCCGGGAACGAGGCTTGAGGCTTTCAGGGTTTTAACTTTATTCTCTTTGCCACCGACATTGCGTGGGCTGCGCAAGGAGACTTCAGTTCTTCCAGTGATCCGGGCAATTGGGTCTGGACGCATCTCTGTTCAGGCCACAGACTCGAGCTGGCAGGGACTCAGGGCTTCTTGCTCCTGCTAGTACCAGGTTAGGGCTAGCTTCCCCCCTGCACCTAGTTAGACTGTTTAGTGGTCTAGTTGGATCAGCACGATGCAGTTTTAGAGATGCTTATGTCGGCATGGCTTATTTCCCCATACCTCACCGCACCGCTGTATTGATAGGGCGGCATCCCCGTTGGGGGGCCGCATCGCATTAGCCACAGGGCCAGCTTCTGAGCACTCAGCACAAAAGCCAAGCTGTGCATACGGGAGAGCTTTGCCCTTCATCTGGACCGTGCAAAGTTCAACAGCGCCCCCCCCCCCCCACAGCTTGGGGAAAGTCTCCTGCAAACCGTGCGGGTTATCACGAACAGCTCCATGCATACACTTGGACCTTCAAGTGTATGCATGCCCTCGGCCAAGACCCCACGTGTGGACAAGACCTGTTGGTTGTTAAAAACTTTCTGTATGGGTTCATGCTTCTACAAATTGCAGCTGTGCCCTATCCCGGGGACTTCGGTTTCCACAACTACACACCTCGGCAATGAGGGGTGCAGTCCCGGAGCGCTGTATTTCTTCCAGAAGTTGGTTATCCTGGCGCAGCCGTACGTTCAGTGACCTGGCTCCTTTGCAAAGAGGGGGTGAGGGGATGGGGACGAGGTACATGGCCTTATTCGACAAGCAAATACAGCTCGTGTGACATGAGCTACATCCACGCTAAGGTGTTTGGGCTGGTAGGATGTACTGGTATTCCCCTGCCTGTCAAGATGCAGCGTAATACGGGTACATCCCCAGAGCGTTTCTTGTGTACATCTGGCCTTAAGCCAACAGAGAGGGTCTTCAAGGGGCTTTAATAAACCGGATTTAGCACCCCTTGAACGCTGGCCTGGGCCTGAGGCCCGATTCCACTAATTCCTGTCCCCTTACGGAGATCGGTCGGTCATAAGGCGATGGCTTCCTTTGCACGGAAGCTGTGCTTCTCGCTGCCAGGAGTGAAAGTGCTCGTGTTGCACTGTCGTGAATGCAGAAGGGGCTGGAATGAGGTTCCTTGTTCTACCTCTGCCCCCCTTCCCCGGCTCTCGCCTGCCCTACAAGTGCAGTTTAAAGCCGCATGGCTTCATCCCTGTCCCAACCCCCTTTCTTCCCCGTGCCTAGTGCATGTAAATTTGCAAAGCCCACGCTGCAAGAGAGCCTGCAGGGTGTGGCTGGGGCTGGGAGGATTGCTGAAAGCCAAGCCTGGAGGCTGCGTGGGGAGGCAGGTGCAAAGCCAGGCTGGCTCCGAGCCCTGGTCATGCAGCCTGGCTGGGTGGGGGGAGCAGGTTAACGCTTTTCCCAGAGCAGGGCCCCTGTCCCGTGAGATCCCCTTGAAAGCATAAACAGCATCACCTCTGCTGCTGGAGCCAGCAAGGCTTTGCCCAAGGGCATCCTCTCCACCCCACCGAGGACGTGGGAGACCTAGGTCACCTTGTGCCCAGTCCAGTGCCTTCCTCCACATCTCTGGACAGTGGCATGCCACTTTGCTGCTCTGGATCCATCTCCTTCTCCCTTGTTAAACCTCAGCCCAGCTGGGCCCTCAGCGTTGGTTTGCAGGTCTGGATCAGGTCCTGGTGGGATCGGGGTCCCTGGGGTCACAGCCTTTTCAGGCAGGTGGCAGGGGTCTCTTACTAGACATGGGCCATTGCTTTTGCTTAAGCTTCCCTCCAGCAGCTCAGCAGGAATGCTGCCAGGATCCCATAAGATCCCGTATCTCCAGCTCTGGATGTGGCCTAGCCGGCTCCAAGCCAGCAACCTTGGGGCTTTCAGGTTTCTAACTTCTTGCTTTCTGCCGCCGACTTGCAGCTAAGTCAGACCGGCCGGCCTCTGCGCCGTGCCACAGGGCTGGGTTTGTAACAGGGCGGAGGGGGTGACTGGCTTTTCCAGCAGCCCCTTCTTCTGCCCTGCATGTGCGTGCCTTTGGCTGGGAGGAGCCGCAGGGGCCTGGGGAAAGGGTCATGTTGTAGGTGTGTATGTGTCGGAGGGGAGGAGGGAGTCCATTATCTGTGGGTCAGTGGCATGGGGCTGGGGGTGGGGCCGTGCGGGGACCAGTCCGTCCTGATCCGGGCTCTCGGATTGCACAGGCTTCAACCCAGGCAGGCTGGAGGCTTGCAGAACAGGCTGCCCCCACCCCCACCCCACCCCCAGCCCGGCAGGGCCCAGCCTGCCTCCTGCATTAACTGGGGATTAATGAGGCTCCTGGTTTAACCCTTGGCTTCCTGCAGGCTCTGAGAAGGTGGGTCCCGGGGACCGCGCTGACCCACGCTTTCTCTTCTCTTTCCCCTCGGGCAGGTTTGCGCAGGCACCTGGATGAAGCAGAAGCAGCCCAAGAGCAGTGACCCCCGACCGGCCGCAGCCCCGCGGGAGAAAGGCAGGCAGCCGGCCACTGGCGGAAGCTGGAGCTTGCAGCGCAGCTTGGGAAGTGCCTGTCCAGCCAAAGAGCCTGCGATGTGCAGGGCTGCAGCCTGAGCCAGCCCGACGGGGGCCTGGGTTGCAGGAAGGGGACTCGCTGCCGGGTCCCTGGAGAAAGGAAGAAGGGCCCAGCCTCTCCCCCCCCGCCTGCACTAGCGAAACCTCTTGGGACATCTGGCGCCTTGTGGCAGAGCAAGGCTTTGTGTAAAGCACTGGTCAGCACAGCAACGCCCCCAACCGAGGACATTGACTCCCCCAAACTGGACCCCCTCCTGGAGCCCCGGCCCTCCACCGCTGCCCCTCCGGGGCCTTGCTCCCTGGTAGGGCCCTGCTCTCCATCCCCCCCTCCTGCTGCACCCTGCCGGGCATCGTGCCCCAGTTCCCCCTCTGCTCCAGGGCATTGCACCCCGGGTGCATTGCCCGCCCCCTTCCCCAGGGAGCTGCCTCCAGCTGGCAGAGCCATGAAGCTGCAGGCCGTGATGGAGAACCTGCAGCGGCAACAGCGAGCCCGCCTGCAGCAGGAGCTGGAGGCACGGCAGCAACAGGAGCAGCCGCCGCGGCCACGCTCCACACCTCCGCCGCCGGTGCAGCCCCCGCCACCAGTCCCCGGGCACAACGCTGCCCTTGCTGCAGCGGCCTCGCCGCTGGCACGGAGCCGCAGCCAGGACCCAGCCCTCGCTGAGGAAAGCACAGAGCCGGAGAGTGCCCGGATGCAGCGGGCACAGATGGCTGCCCTGGCTGCCATGCGGGCTGCAGCCGCTGGCCTCAGCCACTCGTCCAGCCCAGGCGCATCGGATGAGAGCCAGGCCGAGGAGGAAGAGGAGGACGAGGAGGAGCGGGGCGAGGAGGACGAGGACGGTGACGGCGGGTACCAGCAGGACATGGGCTCTGAGGATGATGATGACCTGTGAGTACGGGGCATGAACTGATGGCTCTCACGGGACTGGCATCAGAGGCTAATGCAGCAGGGCATAGGCTAATGCAGGTGTGGGCAGCCTCAGTGTCACATGGCAGATCATGGAGGGGGCAGGAAGCAGAGCAGCCGATCAGGAAGGGGATCAGAGTGGGACTTGGAGTATGGGGCTAATTCTTGACAATCCTTAACTTGTAGCAGTAGTAGGCTCTTATCTTCGGTACCAGCCCCAGGATAAGGATGGGGCCAGGAGACTATGTGGAGCGTGGGCTGAGGGGAGAATAACACTGCTTAAATCCAGCTGCTTTGCCTACAGCTTGACCCTGGCGATGCAAACGAGCACAAACTCGTTCTTGGTTTGGGTGCTCGGAGCTGGGCCTCCGACGCAGATTTTGCATGAATGGAAACTATCTCGCTTGCATTTAAATGAGAGGATATTTTTAAAGTCATCGTCTCCTTGAAATGCACTGCCTGGCATTGGGGGCAGGGATCTGTGCCCTGAGCTCCCGGTAGGGATTGCTGGGCCGGCAGGGGCATGGAAGGGGTGCTGCAGCCTCCAGCCTGTCTGATCGTGGTGGCCTGATCCCGCACAAGAAGGGACGAACCTCAGCGTGTGCTCCTGGGGTCCTGCTGTATTTTCAACCCATTGGGGTGGAGAGTCTTTTCCAGCTCCTGCCTGTTCACTGGTGGGTTTTGCAGTGCAGCACTGCGGTCTCGGCGGTTGCTGGGACCCCAGCCCAGAGGCAGGACTTCCCCACCGAGGGGGGCTTTGTTTGGATAACACATTCGGGATGATCTCTGTGTGGGATTGAAGCCTGGCGGGGAACTCTGCTTGAGCCCTATACTGGGCCCAGTGCAGGACCAGAGCACCCAGGGGTACCAGCTGCATCAGAGCAGGGCACAGTGCTACACTTTCCACTCTGGGAGTTGAGGTAGGATCCAAGTTCAGCTTGGCTTTAAACTGCTCAAGGAGCAAGCTGCCCTATTGCCTCTCCCACTGGCAGCTGCCTGTCCACGCTCGCAGTGTACACAACAGCTGGAGAGAGGCAGTTGTTGTCCCTGAACACCTCTGTAACCCTGGATGCCATTGCCTTGCCCTTGGAGAGCAGTGAGGCCCCTCAGGGCAATTAAACCTCCCTTCCAATGAAACCCATATTCCTCAATTGACCAAATTGTGCTTTGCCATCCTAAAGCGGAAAGTGTTTGTCACTTCAAGCCTTTGCCTGGTGGGCTTGAGTTCAGGACTGTCCAGCCCATTGCTAGAGGGGCTCTCAAGGGGCTAGATTTCCATACCCACCTAGAATTACATCTGCGCTACAGCGCAGGCCAGTTGGATTCATTATGGTGTCTCTGGAGGCCAGTTTGCTCTGGGGAGATTTTAACACCCCATTCAAAACCCAGGGCTGGCTTCTGGATGGAGGTTTTGCAGCTGTCCCCAGGGAAACTCTTCTCAGACCAAGCAGGCGTTTGGCTCTGACTTGAGCTGGCTTCAGGCGCTCCAAAGGGGCTGCTCCTGCCAGTGATCCCTGTCTCCAATGACAAACCTGGTCTGGGCGGGTGGTGTCTGCCTGTTCAGAAGTTGGGGTGAGGAATATATTTTTTTTGCAGATGCATGAGAACTATGACAATTAGGATACTAACTAATGGTAGGGGTCTTGTCCGCTGCTCACCTCTCTCTGGCCATCCCCTAAGTCCCAGACAAGGTTAGCTGTTGTAACCGGCTCTGTTGGAGCATCTGGAAGCTGCAGCCTTCCTGGTGCTCCTGTACGGTGGAACTGAGAGCTTGTAGCATGAGACCTGTTGAGTCCCAATGTTACAATGCAGGTGGCTAAGAGCTCCCACCCCAAACACACACCCAGTGCAGATCAGGGCCCCACCATGTCCTGCCCTTAGTGCAAAATCGGAGCCCATCCCTGCCCTGAGGTGCTAAGCAGGGAATCATAAGTCCCATGCAGACTGGGAATGTGCCTTGCTGCTGCCCAGAGCTTGGAGCTGACGTGTGATTCACAAGATCAAGGCAATGGTTGAATGTTGCCGCTCTTGGTGGGTGCTCCAGGTATGGGCTGTTCCTCCGGGTACTTGCTGGACATAAAGCAGGTCCCCCATGCAATCGAGCTCCCCTGCTCACCCCCAAGGACGCCCGTGTCTCCTACAAGTGTTGGGTGGCTTAACATTAAGCCTCTTCCATTGTCAGGACCAACACTGGGGCCTTCTTCTAGCCCCTGGAAGAGGCGACCCCCCAGCAGAGCACTGCCTGGGGAGACAGCTCTTCCTGGAAGTGGCTTTGAGCCCGGGAAAGCTCCTTCCTGCCCCTGTCCCTGGCTTTCCCCCAGACAGGAGCCATCTCTCTCCAGTCGGGTATCAGGTAGCCAGGAGGAAGCTTGCTGGCAGGCTTTGATGGATGGTGGAGGTTTGGCAGAAGGCCTGGGGTGGGGGGAATGGAGCTGAGCAACCTCCTGACCCTGCAGTATGTCGGGAAGACAGGACGGACATGCATGCTTCCCTGCCCGTCTCCAACCAACGTACGAAAAGCTGGTGCCCTGAAATAGTAAGGAGAGCTGGCATCAGCCAGCTGGGGTCCAGCTAGCCCCTGTAGCTCCTCTTGCCTCTAGGCCAGCGCTAGCCACTTCATCTGGAGGGCATAGCTTCCTCTTGGGAAATTGGGAGGAATTGTCTCCCACTCCCCTCACTGTGAATTGGGGCCCTGCAGCCACTGGCACGTGGTGCGAATGGGGATTTCCTCCTGCCTGTTGCAGATCTACTCCCTTCCGGTGTCTCCTCCGGGTCCTGGCAGGCACTGTTGGAGGGGGTTCGCAGGGTTGGGATCGCTAAATCGGGGGACAGGGTTCTTGGCAGGCTTTGCTACGAGCTGCCCGGACCATGACGGCTTCTGTCCCCTTCCTTTTAGGAAGCGCAAATGGGATGAAGGCGACTTTGAGGAGGACTTGGGGGAGGAAGAGGATGAGGAGGAAGAGGAGGACGAGGAGGAGGAAGACGACTATGAGGAGGATGAAGAGATGGGGGAAGAAGGGCTCGGCTCAGCCGAGGCGGTGAGAGCGGGGCAGGGCTCCCTGCTCCTCCGCAAGCAGCAGGCCCCTCAGCAGTACCGGGGAGAGCCGCAGAGGTTGCCTGGGGGGCAGGACCGCCTCTCGTCGGGATTGAGCCATCAGGGGCACTCGCAGCTGCAGCAGCAGGCGCCAGACCACGGAGACTGGACCTACGAGGAGCAGTTCAAGCAAGTAGGTGCCCGGAGAGACGCGTGGTCCTTTGATCACCCGCTGGTTGCTCTGAATGCCCCTGCCGCCTCTGGGGTCTAATCCTCCGGGGTCGTCGAGGCGGGTCCGTCGCTCATCCGTGCCCCTGGGGGGAGGCGGTTCTCCTGGGTGTTCTGAATTGAGATGTCTCCGGAGGCGCTGGGCATGGGGTTGCGTCGCTGACTAAGCCCCAGGCATCACTGCATCCAAAGCTGCTCCGGGCAAGAGGCCACAATGTCCTTGTCCTTGCATGTGTGCCGGCAGTGAAGCTGGGGCAGGGTGGATCTGATGCCGCAGGGGGGCAGAAACACTGAGATGCGCTGACATGTGCCCAGATCAGTTAGGGGGCCCTGTCTTTCCCTGCCCTGTTGCTCTCTTGCATCCTTTGATTTTTGGCTGCTCTGCGGGGAGCTGTGCCATGGGTTGGAAGCAGGGTTTTGTCTTTCTGGTGACTGTGCCTGCAGGCTCTGGGCTGGCTCCTGGCACAGGAGAGGCTGGGCACCATGTTGGGGACAGCGTTGTATGGACGTGGTGGTGCCCCTGGAGGTGTATAGTACGTGGATCCCTCACCCTGCATGGACAGCTGCCCTCTTGGGGCTGAATGGGTCTCAGAGGGGCCTGGTTTTGCCTTGATTGCACAAAGAGCAGGGGAGGGGTCTTGTGGCCTCTCATTTCCGGATCAATATGCCTTTACCTGCATTGCTGAGGTCATTGAGCTTCTAACATCATGCACTGGTCTGGCCCCCCCCTCTGCAATGCTTGCTTTGCAAACCTGGAAGGAAACAGGTCTGTGCGCCCTGCCCGTCCAGCAGCACAGGACCTGGCAGTCCTGGTTGCTTCAAATCTATCTATTCCCTTGGGGTTCAAGTCTCTCTTCCTCGGTCTGAGAGCGAGGGGATCCTCATTGCCAAGTCTCCCTGCCTCTTGGCCTGCCTTCCCTTCCTGCTTGTATGAGCACGGACCTCTGACCAGGGCCCGGCTTGCTGCATTTGAGGGGTTTCGCGGTGACAGCTAAACGGTGCAGACTTGCCTGGTGAAATGAGCCTTTCTGAATGCGGCCAGGCCCCGCAGACCGCCTGGTCCGGGACAAACCGGAGCTTCAATGGCCAGGCGGGGAGAGAGCAGCCCAGAGCCGCCGTTTGCCTCCAGAACCGAGGCTGGAGGCTCCTGGAGAGTGAAACCCAGGAGAAAGCGAGTCTAACCCCTGCCCCCCACCCCTCTTCCTTTCCCTTCTGGCTCTGTGTTTGCCGAGCCTTGCTCTCTCCTTGCCTTTCTCCCCCTCTCCCGCTGATTGGTCCGCCCTGCGCATTGAATCAGTAAGCTGCTGGCTAATAGAAGGAAATGTGCTTAAAGCAGGACTCCCCAGGGGCACAGCCAGGCGCCTTTGATGTATGTGTTTAAGTACATCAGAGTTTAGGCTGGGGGAGGGGACGGGGAGCAAGCAGCAGCAGCAGATGGGGTCCAGATGGGGGGGGGGGGAGGGTTGTGTGTTGCTTTTG